TAACTTAGAGGTGGGTGTATACTAAAGTTTTTATGAAGTAATTTTACAACTTTTTAAAAGGGTAAGACACAGCAGACAAATTTAGGGAAAAGGATTCTATCAACATCAAGAGAAATGATTACTAGGATGTTTTCAAACAGACTTAGTTTGGAACATTTGAAGCAATTCTTTCTGAGCTTCACATGAATTTGAAAATATTACAGGAAAAATGATCTGTTGGTCCTGGTGGCTTTGCCTTGCTTAATATGCTTACATATAGTTAGCAGAACTAGACAGAACTGATAGTAACGGATGTCTTTGAATAGAATATAAAACTAAGCAAACAGTTAACACCTTCTTAATGCATTTCTGTGTGATTTGATTAACTCTATTCATGGGTTCCATCCCCGTCTTTCAGAAAACCCACAGCTTATATTGACATTCTCCTTTTACATGATCCTCATTACTGGACTGTCCTTGTCCCAGGTGATGGATAGCTTTCTCTTTAGATTAGGTTGTTCAGAAATCTGTTGATCAAAACTTGCCTAGAGACTGCCATTGTTAGTCTCTTAGTTATAGACCAATTTATCTATCTACTGCCAATCATCTCCACTAACTGCCTTTCATCAAGAGAAGGTACCCATTCAACCACTTCAGGGATGTTCTGTGTCTGACAGTTTGGAAATGTACTGTGTCGCTACATCAATATGTATCCAGTCTTCCACATTAAAAGCAATCCATTTGTTTCTATAAGGAGCAATACAGAATGACTTTAAAAAAGCATCAATGCTAGGTAGCGCAGTGCAGCTCAGCACAGGACATAGCATATACAAGACTCTGGGTTTGATCCCCAGTAACACACAACAGCAACAATAAATTGTCAATCTTTTTTTACATTTGTTTATTTTGTGTGTGTGTGGGAACAGTACATGTGGAGGTCAAACAAAAACGTGAAAGAATTGGCTTTCTTCTCCTATCACATGGGCTCTAAGGGTCAACACAGGTAATCAGGTATGACAGTAAGTAATTTTCCTACAGTTATATTGTTAGCTCAAGAACTGATATTTTATTGTTATCCAAAATACTTTCCCAACCATTATGGTGTTATAATCAGTAATATTTTCATATTTTATTTGTTTTAAATTGAACTTCATGTAAGCAGTAGTTTAAGAATGTAGGCAAGAATGTCTATAGCACATTTACTATATCAAACTTACCAATCTAAAGTAAAACTGTTTATAATACTTACCAGGATTCCCAAAATTATTTAATTCATCTACAAATAGAATAAGAGAAAATAGATTAATTTTAAATAATCTAAGTGCCAACAGCACAAATATTATGACTAAGAGAAGCAGTTTATGAACTGTTATATTATGTTACAGTACTTCATTAGTTTAGAACTTTTCAAAGTTAAATGGAGAAGCCATACAAATAGGGAACAGGTAAGAATACTGTTTTTATATCATTCAGGACTTCTAAACTGTTTCACTCTCACTAAATTTCAAAAATCTAAATAAATAAACTCATTCATAATTTGTTCAAAGTTTAGATATTTATTTATAAATTATCTTTCAAAAAATATAAACCTTTAACTTTAAAATATCAGGAAACTTGAAGTATGTGGGTTATGGCAGAGGAGGGTTCCTGTGTATGCCAAACCTAGTTTTGCTATTAACATCTTATGTTAGTACATTACACATACCACAACTAATAAACCATTTATGTTTTCCCCCCAAGACCTATTTAAGATACCAGAAGCATTTACTGTGTCTCCTTAAGACACTCTCAGTTGTGATAGTTGTTCAGACATTCCTTGTTTTTAATGACCATTTCAGTTTTGAGCAGCAGAATGTTCCCCAATTGGGGCTTGTGTTTTCCAAGGTATGGTGTGCCTTTGGGGAAGGCAGAACAGTTTCAGAATTAACTTGTATCCTTTCATACAGGACAGATAAATAATCTGAGCACAAGTCTATGACATAACAATCATCACCAGTTTTTTTACTTATTAAATTTTATGCATACAAAAAAGAAATAAGTTGCAAGTGATTCAGGATTCATAAAGTATTTCATGAGAATATATTCTTTGGTTTATTTGCTAGAGATGAGGTCTCACTATGTAGTTCAGGCTGTCCTTGAATCTGAAATTTTCCTGCCTTAGTCTTCTCTGTGCTGGGATTACAGCTAAGACTGGTATTTTCATACTACATAAAATCAGTTTAACAGTGGTATCAACTAGTGCACACAATATGTATGGTTTTTGCTGTCTTTCATCTTACAGCATAGATCAGTTTCTAGATAGATAGGTCAGGACTTTACCCTGCCTCTTTTCAGTAAGGATGTTTCATACATTTGTAATACAGTTAGACGTTTCTGTCATATTCTACATTCCATCTTTGGTGCCTTTCTTTTGGCCTCCTAAACGACTGTTTAAAATTTGCATAGTCTCACTACACTAAACCACAGCTGAGCCTCATGTTTTCAGCCACACCCCTTGTCCCAACAATGTTCTAATGAAATACACAAAATGGAATAGGAGATATCACTTGCTCTACATTAAATTAAGATGTAAGGGAGGATACTTTTGACAGTATGTATCAACCTATCAACTATAAAATGTCTTAGTTTTTCAGGCTTTTTGAGAAAAAGAGATGGATCTGATGTTTTCCATCTAAAAATTTTGGAGTACCTCCATAGCTACATTGTCATCTCTGTGTTCTAAATAGTTATTTGAAAGTTATTGATTGTTCTTATCATTGAAAAAAACTGCATAGTGAACTGTACAATTACAGACAGAACAGAGCAGGGTAACAATCACATGCTCACTCTGAAGTCAAGCAGGAGTGCTCTTTTGTATTTATTCTTACAGGTCTCCTATGTGTTAGGAAGTTTAAAGAAACAAACACATGCAATTAAACAAAAAATGTAATTGATAAGAGAAGTTTGGTTAAGATTTCTCTACATGGCTTCCCTTCCCACAGAGGTGGGATTGGAGCTTCTTTATAGGAGAATTCTGATTCACAATTCTGTATTAGGATCAAAACAGTAATTAGTTTCATGCTATCATAGAGATGAATGACAGGAAAACCAGGAAATGTCTGATTGAACATTACTACCTTACTTCATCCAAGTAGAGCCTGAGAAAGACTATGTAATAGTTCAATGAAGCAGCAATAGAAAAAATACTTAGCTATCCACAACCCTAATTTTGTAAATCAATATGACATTACACTAAGGTGAGGTAATCTAAGTTTTGATATTTACATATTACAATTTAAGTGTAATGTTCTGGTTAGTTGAAGCAAGTTAGAAATTTATGCTAAAATGGATTTTCAGTTTTCTTTCCACAGTGAAAGAGGTATAGAAATTAATCTAAAACACTGCAGTTAGGAAAATCCTTTTCAATATTATTTTTAGAATATTTACTATTTAATAAAAATGTATCAAATGATATATCCATCCTGAAATTTTTATAGAAACTAGGTTTGCTTTTAAAGGGCACCTTAAGAAATAAAATAACCCAAACAAATATTTATAACAGTATTTTAAATATATTTTATTAGGATTAAAATTAACATTAAGAATTCCAAATATTCACTGTTTCTAATAACCTATGGAGGAGCTTTGGGCCTTATGTGTAATAGGAAATCAGCTGAAGATTGCTTTAGAAATGTCTGTCCAATAGTGTGAAGAAAATTTACACAACTTTAAGGAGTAAGACACAGTATTCTTCAATCAAAATGGTTTATTAGAGCCAGTATTTTTTCCATCACTGCACTCAGTAAGCTAGGACCCTGCACCTCTCCCCAGAGTAACCAGCATGCAGGAGACCAAAGGATTATACTACCTTCGGTGCACTCCACTGCCTCATCTGTTCTTCCTTATATTAGAGAAAACAAATTTGCAGAAATTGTAACTCATAGTTTTAGAAAGGATAGTCACTCAGTAAACAGAGATAAACATCACAGACTCATGTTGTGATAAACATCACAGACTCAATGCAACACATTCATCAATATTTCCTACTATTGAAAACATCACTATAAGTGCATTCAATGTAAACAGAACTCCAAAGTCACACAAGTCACAATAGGGAATACTAGCCAATAATTATTTTATTTTTTATTTACATGTCTCTGACTTTTTATGTTTTATTAAAAATCCTTTTCAACAAATCAGTCTCTTTCTAACTCAGAACTACAAGGAATACATATTGACACAAATATTTAAGATAAACTGTAATACTAAAAATAATAATACTAAATAAATAATACTAAAATGAGCTAAACAAAATAATTTTCATTTTTGTTTTGTTCTTTATATATAACAAAAAATTTTGTATGAATTCTCTAAAATTTACACATAAACAATTTAACTTCTTATATGTAATATATTATTAAATATTTTCTTTGCTTATGCACTCCAGGATATACAGCTTATATCTTGTGTCAGAACTCTATACTGCTTACCTATGATGATTTCTACCTTCTTACTATCTTGACTGTCTCGGTCATTATACACATGACACCAGTAAGTTCCTTCATGTTCTAGATCCACATATGGAACCTGTATCAATATCAGAACACATATTTTCTCTTCAACTTCAATTTAAAAATTGATTAAAACAAAATTCTTTAGTATTTAAAAATTTCCAAAATACAGTATTTCAAAAAATTTATACATCCTTAGATTATCTTTATTCATAAAGCTAAGTATTAACAAGCAAATGATAAAATGATTCTGATAGTGCAAAGTTTGGTGCAGTAATATTTGACATCTTATCCCGAAGCTTGGTTGAGATCTAGCCCTGATGAAAATACAAGAAACTAATTAATACTGACATAAAGAACTTGAACTAAAAGTACTGAAAATATTCCAGAGAGTAGGAGTTTAAGTGGCTCCTTTACATCTTAGTTGTACCATTAATTCTATAGATTAATCCAGCTCTCCCACCCCCCTAAAAAATCAACTGCCTACCATGTAATGCTTTTTTGTCTCATGTGTTAATGGTGATTCATTTTTGAACCACTGGTAGTGAGGCATAGGGCTTCCAACAGCAACACACTGTAAAACCAATGTGCTGCCTGGCATCAACTTTTGGGACCTTGGTTCAACGCAGATTTGCAACTTGGATTCTGAGACACCATCCACACTTCCTTAAATTAAAAGAAAAAAAATCTCTTGGTTAAACATAAAACAAAAATTTTCTACAATTTAAACAGATCTGTATCTAAGTCTATCCTTTAGTGTGGACCACTTAATGCATGGTTTTAAAGTCCACAAATGTTAAGAGATGTTCTGAAGAGAAAAGAATATTGTGGTAAACAAAAACAGTTGAGAAATTCTGGGCTAATGGGGGGATATACTCAAGAAAGAAGTGAGGGGAGAAACTAAGTTTGAATTATAGCTGCCACATGTAAAGGGACAGGACCATGAACATCAGCAAGTTCAAGCTCAGCATCAGGCACAAGAATGAGAAGGGTCCATGTCATCTTAAGGGATTGACACAAAAAATGACAATCAAACCATGTGGAGTTAACTCTTAATGACAGTTATATTCTGAAGTTATTTTTAAATAAACATTTAAATAGAATAAGATGACCCACTAACCAATATGCAACTTCACTTATCACATACCCTGGAAGCTTTCTGTTACTTCTGTGACATCACAGACATCTAGCTGTGACCACTGGCTAAATTCAAAGGTGGAACTGTTGTTAACTCGGCAGACATAAAAGCCTGCATCTTTTACTTGCACTGTGTTAAAAATAAGTTCTGATGAATTTCCATATGGGATCTGCAAAAGAATTCATAAGAGAGCATAAGTGAAGGATTCATCAAAATTCCAGCTTACAATACATGCTGTGTAAAATCTGGTTTCATTATGGACCTGTGAAAAGTATGTTTCTTTTTTTCTCCAAGTTCTAAAATGTGCTAGTTACAAAGTAAAAAGTTAAGATTTTGAGGACTGGAGTATTAAAAATCCAGTCTTTAATAAATCTATTTAACAGGGAGGTTGGCTGTCCTCCAGATCTTGTAGGAGCTCACTAGTAGGAACCCATCTGTTTGGTCATTAAAACAGTACACTTACACTTATTTATACAACTGCCACTGCCACTTTGTAAGTAGCATACAATGCAGTAAACACCACAGTGGCATGAAAGAAACAAACTGGTTATTATTTGCATTTCTGCTCAAACAGCTATGAATATGTGGATAAACTATTTTATCTTGGGACTTCACTTTCTCATCTACGAAACACTGTAACAAGACAGGCTGCTTAACAAAACCACATCCAGCATCTTTCAGGTTTTGGGCTTTGTGGAAGCAGAGAAGTGAGAGGAAGCAATGGCTATAGCAGGTTTCATTTACTTTGGTCAGAACTTGAGGCAATAGTTAGTGTTCTCTTCATGCAGTGTTCTCTCAGAGCAGAATAAATCTATCATAAATTCTCTCAGTTTTATGGTCATAAAGAAGACTTTCATGACTACCTGAACAAACAACACAAAACTTCCCTAGCCTACCCTTGTTCTTCTAGAACCATTTTTTGAGTATGTAATTTTTGAGCATGTTTGTTTGTTCTGAGACAGAGCCTTACAAGTAGTCCTGCCACCCTTGAACTCATAAACATCTACGTGCCTCTCTGTTCCTAACTACTGGGATCAAAGGCGTGAGCCAATCATCTAGAATCTCTTGTCTTTTATGAAGAAACACACTTGATTCCTCTCATGGTTTCTCATAAGTTAGATATATAAGCCTCTAACTTTACCAATTTGACAAACTGCTTACTTTGTAGGTTTCTCTATGCATATAAATAGTTTTTCAAAATATTTTACACTTATTTATTGTATGTGAGTATGTGCACACATGCACATGCATCACAAATCATGTATGATGGTCAGAGGACAACTTTTGATTACGTGGGGCCTAGGGCTGAAACTCAGATCATCAGTCTTGTCAGCAAGAGCCTTTTCCTGATGAGCCATCTTGTAGACCCATGTTTTCCTTCTGCTAATCTATTTATTTATTTATCTATTTATTTACCAAGACAAGGTCTCTCTACATAACTCTGGCTATCCTGGAATTCACTATGTAGACCAGGGTGGATCACATGGAAAACAACGTGTCAGAGATGGAAGATTTGTATCACTCAGTAAAGGTCAATAATAGACTTAAATAATAAATGCCCGTTCAGGCATAAAAGGCCTACAAAATACAAATAGAGAAGACCAGAAAAGAAAATTTCCATGACATAATTATAGTTAAAAATACTAAAAACACACACTAAAGAAAGGTTATTGAAAGCTGCAAGTTAGAAGGGTCAGTCACTTATAAAGGCAGGCCCATAAAAATAATAGTTAGGATTGTTCAATAAAAACTTTTATAGCCAGAAGTACCTGGAAAGTTCTGAAAGACCTCAACTGCCAACTCAGACTATTATACCCAATACAACTATCTATTAAAATTGTAAGGAAACTAAAACTTTTTACAATAATAACAGATAAAAGGAATTTATGACCATCAAGCCAGTTCTACAAAGGGTATTAGAAGGCATACTCTGGATTTAAGAGAAGGATAAACATAGTCAAGGAAACACAGTGAATAAACACTACCAAGCAAACACAAAGATGGGTAATAGATAGGGAAAAGAGGGGTGGTGGAAGGCCTAAGCAAAATGAAGGATGCATGAAAATTAATATGGAAATGGATGATCTTCCAATCTCCCCTACTGGCAACACAGCTTTTTTCCACATTTGGAAGGGAGGGGACATTGGCATTTTCATTTAATTATAATATGTCTTCTAGGAGTGACTTTACCCACCCATATTAATGAAATAGTCAGGTATGGTGGCTCACACTCTAATCCCACCACTCAGGAAGCGAAGCAGCAGTATTACCACAAATTCAAGACCTGTCTGGGTTCTATAGTGAGTTCCAGGCCAGTTTGGGCTACAGCATAAGATCTTGCTTCCAACGAACCAACCAACCAACCAAACAACCAAAGTGGAATTAAACGACATTTAAAAATTACCTCCTTATTCATTTTGAACCATTGATATTGTACAAAAGGATGTCCAGTTGCTCGGCAACACAGTTTTACAAACTGTCCAGCTAAAACTGCCTTTGATTCTGGGTTTACAGTGATCTTTAGTCCTAAAACAACAACAACAAAAGGTAAAGTCACAAAAGAGGATTTTTCTTGCTTAAACAACAAAGAAAAAATCATCTTAGTCATAAATCAGGTATTTATTTCTCCTTCTCTATCAGTATGCATTCTTCAGCTGAAAAGTTTGTAAAACCACAAGAAAAAAAATCTGCAGAAGACTTTGATACGTTCTATTTCTCCATGGTTTGGAAGGGAAATTATTTGCCACATTTCCCAAATTTTTAGAAATACTTTTCCCCCAAACTCTAATATTTCTGAGATCAGGATGCACCTTTTAAGACACCTTCTAGGCAGACATCACAGTCCAATTCTCAATGCCAGCACATACAAATACCTGGTCATCAATGTTTACATGGCCAGCACTTCAACTGAGTTAGTTGCACAAGTAATGTGTGGGTTAGTTTTTCTCAACTTGACACAAACTAGAGACACCTGAGAAGCTGACCTGGTGCATAACTAGAAGCTTCACCCCTACTGACTAATGTTTATGGTACTGGAAGTACTCTGCACACTACTGAAGGAGAAAGGCAGTCTTCAACATCTACTAGCTACAAACAGTGCAACATACAACAGTGATCTACCTGCAAGATATAATGGTGCAATAGTGGCACAAATGTCATGGGAGTAACCAACCACTTTTGATTGGATTTAAGGCCCACTCCACAACATGGAACCCATAACTGACACTGCTAAAACGATCAGGAACCCGAGACTAGATAAGTCATGGGCCAAGGGGGAAACCTACTACTATTATTCTGCAAAAAGAACAGCAATAAAATGGTTCCTAGTGACATACTGCTATATCCATAGATCAGAATATTGTTCAACCCTCATCAGAGAAGCTTCTTGTAGTAGATGAAAATTAACACAAAAACCCACAAGTAGACAATATGCAGAGTGGCAGACTTTGGAGCACTCAGTATTAAATGAGATATCTTTACAAAGTCCTTCCCCTCAAGGCCCAGGGATCTATGCAAAAGAGTAGGTGGAAAGACTATAAGAGTCAGGGGTGGTAGATGGTTCCAAGGAAACAGTGTCTTCTAGATACAGGAGGGCTGTGTACATATGAACTCAAAGACACTATGACAGCACATGCAAGACCTACACAAATTGAAGCCCTTTATAATTCACATAGCAGAAGCACAGAGTACCACTCCTAACCAAGAAGCTATTTGTAATTGATGCCTGCTGGAAAAGAGAAAATCAGTTTTCTTTCCTTTTTTCTTTTTTTTTTCTGTTTTGGTTCTTTCGAGACAGGGTTTCTCTGTGTAGCTTTGGAGCCTATCCTGGCACTCACTCTGGAGACCAGGCTGGCCTCGAACTTACAGAGATACGCCTGCCTCTGCCTCCCAAGTGCTGGGATTAAAGGCATGCGCCACCAACGCCTGGCTTGAAAATCAGCTTTCTACAATGGAGTGTAATATATATATATATGGAATATCAACTACCCTCCAGGGCAGGCCCCATGTCCAGGAGTAGTTGGCCAGGCTTGTGTATGAGTGTGTGTGTGGGGGGACTTTTTGTTTCATTTTTTGGGTCTTATTTGTTGTTTGTTTTGAGTTTTGCTTCTCATTTTGTGGTTTATTATTGGAAAGAAAGAAAACTTGGGAATTGCATGGATAGCTCCAGAGGTAAGTAGGACCTGGGAGGAGTTGGAGGAGGGGAAAATATGATCAAAATATATAATAATTTTTAAAAATCTGTTTAAATTATTATTATGTGTATGTAAATGTGATGCATGTGAGTATGGTGAGTATACATATATGCTAGCAGGTGTATGCATCTGTGATGAACACCAGGGACATCAAAACTAGAAGCAGTTTAACAAATAATTCGAGGAAGACCAGCTCTAGAGCAAAGTAGTCAACCCAGGTGTTGTGGAAAAGTCCCATGAGAAATCTAGCAGAAGGGGAAGAACTCATTCCTAGGGCCTCCTTTAGAAACTGTATTAGGTGCAAGAACTTAAGAGCACATGTTTCAGGATGAAATTGAACTTATCTTCAACTTCATGCTAATGGCCACTGGAAGTGACTTCTTTCTCTGCTTTAGCTACTTGTAGTTTTCAGAAAAAAATCAAAAGGACTCCCAGTTAGCTTCATAAAAGACAGGAACCTCTCTATACTACAGTTATCTATCTCTTAAGAGCTGTCTCTGTCTACAGATCCGTAACAATTGGAATGGAATATGGCAAAATCAGATGAAAGTTCTTCCTTGAGTCAAAATGAATATAGTTTTCCCTTCTTGCATTTGGGCCTGAAAGGTCTGTTAAAATGCCATAGCATCTTCTATAGAACACATCTTACTCTAATCACACCTCTCTGCAAGGACTGTCAGAGAAAAACATGGCTTTCTGTGGAATAAGAACTAATGCTTCATGGAAATAGAGTTAAGTACAAAACAGAAAACACTAGCACACTCTGCATCTTCACTAAGGTTTAAGAATGCAATGTACTAAAAAGGAAAACTGGAGATCAGATATACTTACTTTTTAAAAAATGATTTATTTATTTACAATGTATACAGTGTTTTGCCTGCATGTGTCCCTGCGGGCCAGAAAAGGGTATCAGATCTCATTACAGATGGTTGTGAGCCACCATGTGATTGCTGGGAACTGAACATAGAGCAGCTAGTGCTCTTAACCTCTGAGCCATCTCTCCAGCCCAGATAAACTTTTATATAACTCTCTTTTTTTCTTTTTTCTTTTCTTTTCTTTTTTTTTTTTTTTTTTTTTGAGGCAAGGTCTCACTATGTAGCTCCAGCTGTCCTAGAACTCACTATGTAGACCAGGCTGGCTCTGAACTCAAGAATCCACCTGCCTCAATCTCCCAAATTCTGAGATAAACTGTTAATTATATCTATTACCCAGAAAGGTTTAAATTCTCAGAGGGCTTTGGTGTTCTGTAAAGCATGAGCAATTAGTAGCTAATACTGTTTGGTAGGCTGGTGGATTTCAGTCCTTACAACTGCTGGGCATCTATTGTTCGAAGCACTAAGTACATAAAATTTTTAAACGCTTCTTTAGGACATACATTATTTAGAGATGGGTACTAATTGCATGTGGCATCTACATTAGCAGTTCACTGTTCTAGCCCATAGATCCTAGTTTAAGAAGCCAAGCATTCAATACAGTACACCTCCAAAGGAGGCATGAAAGGGTGTAAGAGGATGGCTGGAAAACCATATTTTCTCCCTCGTAATCTAGGACCCTTTGCATTTGTAGTCAACAGTCTGGTTACATCTCCAGGGTCTGTTGCCTTTTACTTATCCAACAAGTCTATTTTTGTTTGGTGATCCATGTGGTTCCTGGAAAGCTGACTCAGCTTAACTCCATTCTTGGCTTTAAGCCAGGCATATCAACACATTCCATGTCCTTGGCTACAGTGACAGGCAACTGAACAAAACTAGTTAACTAGAATAAACCTGCTTTTTGCTTAGCATTCTGGGACAAAGATAAATGAGTCTAAGAACACCCAGCACACATCCTGGGCTAGGCAAGTGTCAGTTTTAGAAGGAAGTCAATGCCAAGAAAGAAGTGGAAAAACATTACATTTAGGGCTCTTCTCTGCCTCTTAGGAAGTCTTATCTACTTTTGGGTGTTTCAGGTAGAAATAATATTTTACCTTCATCAATTTGAGTTTGAGTTTCTGGTGGATGTAATTGACTATTTATCACTATATCTTTTGTTCCTAATTTCTCATATTAAAAATATATCATAGGGCTGGAGAGATGGCTCAGTGGTTAAGAGTATACTCTTACAGAGGACATAGGTTCAACTCCCAGCACTCACCATCAAGTAGTAGTTCACAAGTATCTATAACTTCAGTTCCAGGGGATCCTATGCTCTCTGGCCTCTAAGAGTACCTGCACAAATGTGGTGAATATAAACTTATGCAGGTATGAACACACATACATAAATATTTTTAAAATGTATTTGGTTATATAAAGAAACATTAACATACCAAAATTATATAAAACAGAGAGCATCAAATACATAGTTTACAGCCCTTCCAGGCTTGACTGAATTATTTGCTCCTAGTGGGACACAAGGACAAATGGAATCCTGGAAAGGAGGCTTGCACAGGTGCTGCCACTAGCAATTGTTGTTTATCTGAAACAGGATCTGACTATGTAGTTCAGGCTGGCCTGGAACTCTTGAGCTTCTTTCTAGCCTCTAGAGTACTGGGAATTCAGACATGGACTACCACAGCTGGCCCATCAAGCAACTTGGATGAAATGTCCTCCCTCTCTGCTATCACTGTAGTTGATCAACTCTACCAATAGCTACATGAAGGTCCAATCGTTTTCTATTTATTTAAGTAGCCATCTCTCCAGCCTGTTTCCTATTTGTTTTGTTTTTAATTTTGTATTTTACTTTTATTTATGTGTTTGTGTCTCTGTGTACATGCAGGTGAGTGTAGGTGATGTCAGAGATCAAAAGAAAACATTGGATCCCTTGGAGCTGGTATTACATGCAGTTGTGAGTTGTCTGATGTGGGTGCAGGGAACCATGCTTGAGTCCTATGGAAGAATAGCAAGTTCTCTTAACTAATGAGCAATCTTTCCAGCCCCATTTCCTATTCTTCACATGACTTTGCATATGAAAAGCTTCACTCAATACAGGTATAAAAAGAAAAATTCATATGACTAATGTTTCACAAGTACTGCAACGGCAAAACACAGTGAATATCTGATCTACTACTTTACCCCATCTGTGTATCACATATGTACACTGTGTTTTGGGCTACTATTTCAGTGTATGTTATAGAAATCTGACATGCAAATACTTTAGCATGCATCTTCTTAGAATATGGGCATCTTCTACTGAATTACAATATTATAGCATAAGTCTCTAATATCAATTATGTGGATTACATTCAAATTTTTAAAACAATTGCTTAAAAATGTCTTGTATAGCTAGCTTCTTGAACTATAATCTAATACTTTTGATGTCTTCTTTGATCTCAAAATGGGGAAAGGGAGAATGAGGCTCTATGCATTTGTATTTTCCAAAAATACTGAACACAATTTATCTGGTCAAAAGATGTATTTCTCTCCAAATCCAACTCCATGAATTTCTTTAGAACATTTCTGAAGAAAAACAAAACAAAACAACAAAAAAAAATCCCCACCTACCTGGGGGGTTGAGGAGCTGAAGAACCTCAGTGTGTTCCAAAGCCTGTAGGAAGTCGTTCAGTTCTGTGACTGTACATCCCTTTTCACCCATTAGTTTCTTTAAACACAAACTTGGGCTTT